TGTCTCAAACCCGCAGGCTCAGGCAATCCACTCACCTCGGCCTCCCAAAGTGCGGGATTACAGGCTGAGCCACTGAGCCCGGCCAATTATACTTTCTATGTGAAAGAAGACACATCTTCCCCTCTTATAACATATCGTGCTTCCCCCAAACAACATCTTAATAAGCCATTCTTAAAGATCATGAGGACCGCAGTCCTATTTCAGAAGCTCAGGCCCCCGTGAACATACGCATACTGCCCCTCACACATAGCCAGAACGTACTTGCTTTTTGTGGTTGCTGCGCAGGAAGGACCTGGGAATCCCATTCTTGCACTCCGAGTCACTCTGCTCTTCATAACTTTCAAACTCACTTGAACTCCATCCGTACTCCAGAGAGCTGTTTCCACCTTCTTCTCCATTCTCAACATCATCATAAATCATTTCATCTGAAAGCATAAATTCCAAAGTGAAATGAAAATAAAGCTTTAGAATTCACCACTGATGGTTTTGTGTTTGTCTGCTGTTTTACCCAATCATCTCGCTTTGGGGTAGAGCACATGGAAACACTTCAAAGGACAACACACACCCCTGATGCTTGGCTGGGAGGCGCGAACGACGTCCTCCAACTCCATGTGGCCTGTGCTGCAAAGACTTAAGAAAGGGCTTCAGACGATTCTGAGAACTGCCTGACCCCATCTGTACTCTGAGAACCACCGGCCTATTAAGAATCCACAACAATTACACCAACTAATTTCTTGGCCACAGAGAACTGTCCCTGAAGGAAAGTCTTTCTTTGCTTTTCTTTTTTGAGTTGAAGTCCCTGTCGTCCAGGCTGGAGTGCAGTGGCGCACTCGCGGCCAACCAGTGTCAACCTGTTGGGCTCTGGCGATTCTTCCCCCTCAGCCTTCCAAGTGCCAGAACTATAGGCATACACTAACACGGCTGGATAATTTTTTATTTATTGTAGAGACAAGGTCTCACCAAGGTGCCCAGGCTGGTCTTGAACCCACGGGCTCAGAAAATCCACTCACCTCCACCTCCCAAAGTGCTGGGATTATAGGCTGAGTCACTGAGCCCAGCCAGAAAGTCTTTCTTTATTTAAAAAAAAAAAAAAAAGTGTATTTGTTTTAAAAATCAGGGAGATAATAGACAACTGATAAATAGGTCATAAGAAGGTAGGGAGACAGATGGATGATAGCGATGACGGATGGGTGGATGAGTGGATGGATGGGCAGACAAGCACACAGATGACAGAGATACTCAAATACTAGCACAAGTGAAGCTCACTTTAAACAACTGTACATTTTGCTTTTGTGCTAAAACCGGTCTAAGAAAACTTTTAAATAAACTATTGCTATATTTAAATGACTTCGTCAATTAGTGGTTTCAGAATTAGTGAGGAATACATCACACTTATGCCAACAGATACAATGACAAAGGATCCTTATTTTAAAATCACAAGGACAAGATCCGTTGTCTTTGAATGTACTCTGCTGACATTTTAGGTAACTGAGTTGGATACCAAATTCATTATTTTTCAGTATTTTTTTAACATATGCCATTATGCCTATAATTCTTTATTTTTTAAAATCTATCTCGTAAGTTTTCATGTAATGTTTTTCATTATTATTCAAATCAAATGTTTTCTTTTTTTTTTTTTTGAGTTGGAGTCTTACTCTGTCCCCCAGGCTAGAGTACAGTGGCATGCTCACAGCCACCGCAGCCTTGATCATCTGCTGGGCTTAGGTGATCCTTCCCCCTCAACCTTCCAAGTAGCTGGAACTACAGATGCATGCCACCACTCCCAGTTAACTTTTTTGTGTGATTTGTTGTAGAGAGGTCTCACCAAGTTGCCCAGGCTGGTCTAGAACCCACGGGTTCAGGCAATCCTCTTGCCTCAGTTTCCCACAGTGCTGGGATTACAGGATGAGCCACCACGCCTGGCTCAAATGTTTTCTAATTTCCATTCTGTTTTCATTTTTGACCATGAGTTATACAGTAGTGTGATTTTTTAATGTTCAAATGTTTTTTGCTGATTTCATTCAACTGTTATCAGAAAATGAGGTCTGAATACTAATTATTTGGCATTTATTAATATTTGCCTTGAGCCACACTTTACAGTTCAATTTTTTATATTCAATATGTTTGAAAAATTGTATATTCTGGAACTATTTGCTTCAGGGCTTTATATATGATCTTTAGGTCAAATATAGTACTATGTTGTTCTAACCTTCTTTAGTTTACTAATTCTATGTATGGTATGCATCAATAGCAGAGAAAGCAGAGACAACTTTCCCCTCCAGTTGTGTGTTTACATATTTCTGATTAAATCTGTGTTACATATTTTGCTTTGTACATCTTAAGGCTATGCTGGCAGGTCCACACAAGCTTAGAGTTGTTATTTACCACCTGAATTATTCCTTGCCTTATGGCTTAATGCTTAATGTTACTATACTCATACTGGTGATATTTTGGTTAGAACTGGCATCGTATTTCTCTTTCCATCTATCTACTTATATATTTTTTTACCCTTACGAATCATAAGAATTTATGGCCAGCTGCTATTTCATCCAATCTGAGAGTTTCTTTTACTGGCAATTGGACACAATTTATATTCACTGTAAGTACCAATATATTTAGACTTATTTTGCAATCTCTTTTCCTATGATTTGTAATGCTTTCTTCTTTTATATATTGTTGCTTTGTACCAGATGGGGTTTTGTTCACTGGTTTGCAAGCTAAATAATCTGTTTCTGTCCTCCATCACCCTCCCATCCAGTCATCCCCGCCTAGTGGTTAGTGCCACCTTAAAATGAATCAATTCTATTATAGTGCTGTCTTAATCAATGCTCATGTGGATTTTTTACACACTTGTCACTTCATTTGCTCATGGTCCTTTCTTGCCTTCCATCACTGCCAGCTAGGTTCAGTGCACTTTTCCTGGAAGAATAATACTAAATATTTCTTTGGAGTCTCCCCCAGTCTCCCCCAGTGAGGAGTCTCCCCCAGTGAGTGAGGAGTCTCCCCCAGTCTCTGTCTGATATCACCTCTCCCTCTCTCTGAAAGACTGTACTCTGGCAGGAGATGGCCATCAGGCAGAAGTGGCCCCTTTCCTTCATCTTTTGAGCACATGGTCCTGTAGTCTCCACCAGCCCAGAAGTCGGCTATTCTTCCCTAACTACAGTTCCTTTGTGGGAACCTATGTTTTCTCCCTGTTGCTTTCAAGAGTTTCACTGTGGACTTGGTGCTCTGCTCTTTCGACTGTATTTGTATGGATTGATGTAGAAGTAATCCTGCTTTGAATCTGCATTTCTAAAATCTGAAAATTTATGTCTTTAATTCTAGAAAACTCTTAGTAATTATTTATTAGACTCTTAGCTTTTCCTGGTAAGATGTCTCTGTTACTTTTTCATTTATATCATTTATTAGATACATGTTGGTACGTTTCAGTCTCATTTCTTACCTCTGTGGTCATATTTCCCATATCTTTAACTCTGTCTGTTTCCTTGGGGTAATTAAGGTAACTGCCCTATTTTAAGCATTGTAATATACATACACACACACGTGCACACACACCAATATTCTACCACGATACCAATGAGCCACAAAATAACATATAAAAAACATGGTTATCGAAAACATACAGGTTGTCTATTTAGGGCTCATGCAGACACTGGGCATTTTTTACACCCAGAGGAAAAAGACGGCTAAACTGAGTCTCCTAAAACTGAATTCCAGACAAAAATCAAACCTGGTTCAGAGTCTGAATTTTCTCTTGGAACATCATCATAAATTGCTTCTTCTGGATCTGGAATAAAAGGAGAGGAAAACTTTAAACACTGACCAATACCAACTGAGTGCAATTTAAACCATCTAGGGCCATAGTGTCCCACGATGCTATGACTATTATTGAAAATGACTGACTGTGAATCATTATGGTGAGAATGATTATTAGTGAAAAAGTTAGTTTACAAGGGTGGGTAATGACCTTACCAAAGCATAAGCATTACTTTTGGGGAAATGAAGGATATTGCCCTAAATGGGTCTGTTGCAAAATGTCACTAAGAGTTCAATTACACACTTCTATAAGACTCTCTTATGAACACTCTGAAGTTTATGTAGTCTCATATACAAAAAACACAAAGGTGGTATACAGAGTTTCAGAAACAAAGGGACAACTGGTTGGTGGAAAACCATTAAAATAAACCAATAACTCTAAACATTTGTACCACTAAAGGTGAAAAACAGCCATGTCCAAGTAAAAAAATGTTACTCGCATAGGCTAAAGTTTCTCAAACTGTATTATGTGAAACACTAGTGTTCTGAGAAATTGCGACAGTTTCCTTTTTTTGTTTTAGCTTTTTAGTTTGTTTTGGTTTTTGGTTTTTTGTTTGCTTGTTTTTGAAACAGGGTCTCACTCTGTCACCCAGGTTGAAGTTCAGTGACACAATCATGGCTCACTGTAGCCTCAACCTCCTGGGCTCAGGAGAGCCTTCTGCCTCAGCCTTCCACGTAGCTGGGACTACAGGTGTGCACCACCACACCCGGCTAATTTTTGCATTTTTAACAGAGACAAGGTCTCGCTATGTTGCCAAGGCTGATCTCAAACTCCTGAGTTCAAGCAATCTTTCCGCATCAACCTCCCAGAGTGCTGGGATTACAGGTGTGAATTATCACTCCTAGCACCATTTTCTTAAACAGAAGTGAGGCTCCATGGGCAAAATAGTAAAACACCCACATAGCAATGAAATTTATTTAAAATCTGTAAGAGCTACATGCTTCATATGAAAATCTGTTTCACATAAAGACCTTCAAACTTAGGTTCCAAAGTATGCATTTGTTAGTGGCACCCTCCGCGCAAAGAAACATCCAAACTACAGCACATGAAAGCCGTGAAGGTCACTGCTTATCAAGCAGCAAAGGAAGAAGACTGGATAGGTGACTTGAGTCTTCTGGGACACTCAGTCACTGTTACTGTCCCTACACTACCAAGAGAAAGGAAAAGTCCTTATCTGTCACTGTGGCCCAGGTCCACTGTTACAGATGCTCATTTTCTTTTAATAATATTTACAAACTGCAACTACAGTAAATATGTCTACTCCTGTTATATAATGCTGAGGAACTACTAGTTGACAGAGCTTACTTTCAAATACAGTCATTCTAATTAACTGTCATCTGGATAATAAAAATGAGTAATGGGAGAAATTCAGACAAATTTTACTTTGGAAATAAAATTGCTAGCAAAGAGCAAGACAATAATTTAATCCTAGAATGATCCTGATTTAATAGGTTCCTAGCAGAATCACCTAATTACACTAAGATCTTTGTTTTGACAAGTCATAATTAAAACCAGAACGAAACCCTCTAGGAGATAATTTAATAATTAGGAGATAACTAAGATAGTTCTACCTTGTAAGTCGATCATATAAAACAATTACACAAATTGGAAAGCCAGTGGATAATAAAATGCACAATTAGGAAAGTAAGCTCCACTTTTCCTTTAAAAAATAAAAAAAAGGAAATCTAACTAAAAATGTGTCAGCCTTTGAAGCCACTGGAGGAACAGAAGCTATGACGCCATGTGTAGGTGGGTTGGTCCAACACCCACCCAGCCCTCCTTAACAAGGGTGGGTGACAAGGCATAGCTGGGGCCTGCCAGCAGGACTGCCGTGGTAGTGCCTTGGTGGTAAAAGGAGACTATGGCTGCAAAGTAGAGCATCTGTCCCCAACTCCACAAGTGTTACCACAAGAACCAAGCCTGTGCTAGGAAGAGACAGGAAGAGGCAGTCCTCGGATGGAAATGACCTAACAGCCATGTTCTATTACTCTTTTAAGTAAATTAATATGTTTTTAAGGTTCTGGACTGCTCTGGGACATGAGGCAGTGAACACTGTCCCCACAGGTGAGTCTGCGGAAGTGCAGTGGGATCGGGCTCCTGGCGGTCGGCAGACTCACTCTCCATCCAGGCTGTGTTGGCGGGATCCGCAACCCATCGGGCCAAGGCGCTGTCTTCTTTATGGACTTGATCTTCACTTGAAGAAAATAAACCACAGGGTCAGAACATCGAGAAACATTCCCATCATCAGGTTGCAAGATATCCCTAGCATGTAAATATATAAATATATACATACTACTACACATGGGAACTGCATATTTTCCCAGATGTTATTACAGGAAATCCAAAGTCCAAGTTTTCCTTCATAACTCTATAAATAAGCACTTGTGAAAGAGCACAGCATGGTATCTGAGACAACAGGAATATGGCCCCTGTTCCAGAAGGCCTGAACTGTTCTCAGGCTTTTAATTGGCTCTTTGTAGGCCACTTAGCGCCACACAAGATGCTGGACTGTGGAGACATGCCCCAGTGAGACATGGGCTTTTTCCACCCCCAGTAGCAAGTCAGTGGGAGAAAGAGACACAAGATCATCCAAAATAAAGATGGTGGTCTGTTCACAGGGTGTTGGTGACAGGGGCCAAATCCTATAGTCTGCACACACAGGGACTTGGGTTTCATCCTGTATGCGAGGGGCAGCTGTGGGAATGCTCTACTTGGAAGAATGACAAGATCAGACTCGTTGCACAAATTGAGCGTCGCCCGTGACAGGCACAGCTGCTGACAAGGGTGACCAGCAGTGATCAGACCTCCCGACGCCCGTGCCCTGCTGGGAGCATTGTGCAAAGCTGAAGCGAACCGTGGCAGAAAAACGCTAATTGGAAGGCACAGACTGGTGGCAGAGTGAGCATCCAGAGAGATGCATGGGACGGCTGGAAACCCTCACAGGGAAAAAGCATTAACATGGGGCTGCATGACAACACACGCAGAGCACTGTCTCTCTTATGACCTCTTTTCTGCTAAAAATTCCAACAAGCCCTGAAATGTCTGCAAGATTTCAAAGATAAAGGAAAAGAATGAATGTCCAGGTAATGACCCTCGAGGATGCACCCAATGTGCAAAATTAGGACATGAGCCCTGCTCAGCTAGAAAATTCATCACCCAAAAAAGGAGTATTCTTGTGCTTTTTACATTTGAAATTACAACAAAAGAAAAAGTTACCCCAAAAAGGTAAAAGAAAATCTGAAGCAAATATGAATAGTATTTTAAACTATTCATGAATGCTTCCATATGTTTAAAAAATGTCAATATGTTTTTTTAAAAAAAAAGGTGGAAATACTCTTAGGTTATCATCACACTACATCCTCTATTCTTTTTCTTCAAATAAATTCACCCTTTCAATGGACACATTTTTCACAGTAAGCTTTAGACTGCCATTGATAACAGGATAACACCAATAATTCTTAATTCTATGTTTTTAATTTCTAATAACGGGTCCTGACTAGATCCAGTTGGTGACACGATTCTGTATCTAAACTGTGGGGAAAGTCTTGTCAAGAGAGTCCTGCTCCCCATATCCTAGTCATCTCCTAAAGAATTTCCCACTGGGATGTTTAGCCCTTCCAAGGGCCGACCCTGATAACCAAAGGGAAAGATAACAGGAAGCAAAACCAACAGGCCGAGGACTTGTGGCCAGGAGTGGCTGACACATCACTACTCCTGAAAGGAGACTCAGTCCTCGTATCCTGACACAGCTTCTGCAGACCCTGCACGCCCAAGAGGACACGTGGCAGCCCCCTTGCCTGTGTCTCCTGGGAGGGACCTGAGGCAGGGAAAAAGACAAGACAGCTCCACCTGCAGGAGTACTGAGGACCACTGACCAACAACCAGGAGACAGCATGTAAGGACCATCATGTCTGAGAACACAGGAAGAAGGCGTGAGTCCAGAACGTAAGGGTAAGATTGTTGGAATACCTGTTTGGAGGGTCCTCAGAACTCAAAGAATTAAACTGGCGCTCTTCTGTGACTTCTGGGGTTTCTGTTAGGAAAAAAAAAAGATACTGCTTTATCCTTGACAAAAATGTTTATAAAGTTGCTTTTTTAATCTTTAACTTGATTTCATATTTCTCTTTCTTATCAACAATAGGCTTACTTTAGCATAAAGATGATTAACTGACACGGTTTTTAAAGTTCAGCTTTCAGATAAAATGTCTTCCAAAGAGAAATCCAATAAAATATGATATCCTGAGGTCTTCTAAAACAGCCTGCAAAACATGCAGGTACCCAAATAAACCAGGCTAGACTGAAAAAGAAATAATATTCCCTCCCACTCCTCAAGTGCTCGTGGAAGTCTACAACTGTGACCTATCTAAAGGGTACCTGCCACAGACTCAAAGGCATCCAAGACAGAGATGGCTATGCTGGTGATATCTGACTTTTATTTGCACACTCACACACACACCATCTGACCTGGCTGGGGTTTTCCTCCTGTCTCTGCCTGTGGCTCATCAGGACAACAGCGAGCTCGTGACAAGGGTCACAGCCCAGCCGTCCTGCAAGTCCCATGCAGGTGGAACACAAAGAACAGCACACACCAAGAGGGAAGAGCTAAACCACCTCAGAGGGCTCGTGGCAGGAGTTGGGAAAGCCAGGACGGCTGCAATACACATCCATGGCTCTCCTGGACCCAACGGCCAACATGGGGAAGGAGAGCTCTGGCCCTCTAAAATGGGTGGGTGTCCTTGCAGAGGTGTCCACGAAGCGTCCTGGGGTTACTTAGGCAGCAAGAACAGGCAGGTATGGAATCCAGGCCTGATGTCCACGCTTTTACCACCATGTCAGGAAAAAAGACTGTATGCTCGTTTCTCTTTTAAATCAAAAGACAACGGCGAGCCACTTGTTCCTCTGTTTTGGGACTTAAAATAGTTTGTGTGATAAGTGGGTCTTACTACTGGTTCTAGGCTGACAGTATAAAAATAAATTTTTAAAAAATCATGTGAGGGCCGGGCTTGGTGGCTCAGCCTGCAGTCACAGCACTTTGGGAGGCCGAGGCAAGTGGATTGCCTGAGCCCGTGGGTTCGAGATTCATCCGGGCAACTTGGTGAGACCTCATCTCTACAATAAATAATAAAAAAAAAAAATTAGCTGGGCATGGTAGCGCGTGCCTGTAGTTCCGGCTACTTGGAAGGCTGAGGCGGAAGGATCGTCTAAGGGCAACAGATCGAGGCTGCAGTGGCCATGAGCATGCCACTGCACTCCAGCCTGGGCAGTAGAGTAAGACTCCGACTCAACAAAAAAAAGAAGACATTTTCCTCCATTATTAATTGGAAAGGAAAGGATGCTTCTACTGAAATCTTTGCAACAATAAGACCCTGCTTCTCCACCTTCTGCTAGAGCATCCCATGCCGTATCCTAGAAGAAGACAGCACAAAAGCACATTTTGCAAGAAAAGGATAAATTCAGCAGAGATGCCTTGCTGGGTTGGTTCTGGAAGAATGGCCTGGGCTCCAACTGCCCCACGGTGCCTGCATCCCAGGAGGTCCCTGCAGAAGTCCTGACCTTCGGGCTTTGCCTGCACACTCCTTTTCCAACTGGCGCCTGAGGCTCACACGACATACCTGGGGCCACATAAAGACAGCAGAGGGCAGGTTCCGACAGCCAGGCCCCAACAGCCAGGCCCTTCCAATACACACAGTGGCTCCTTTGCCCCAAATAAAGAAGGCAGAGAATCGAACCACACCATCAGAGCTAGACAGATGAGGACACAGGCCAGCAAGGCACCCACGTGGTCACCGTGGTCCTGGCCCAGCACCCTGAGTGTGGCTGCAGGGAGCTGCCCTAGGCAGCCTTATTTCCCAAGGACCTTCCAACCTTCCGACCTTTTGACTTTCCCCGAGGGCTCCCTCAGAACTCCCAAGACATCCCCAGAGTATCCTATCCAGAAAAGGGAAAGCATTATAGGGAGACAGAACCCTTCTAGGCCCTTCTCTCTCCTTCCTCCCCATGCCCCCCTACCCTCCATCCCTTGGAAAAAAGATAGCTAGACACAAACTCTAACCTCATGGAGCCCGAGTTTACAAATCAGCAGATGACATCAGAACATCAACATAACTAGAGTTTGGAATAAAAAGTGACAAATGCCAAGAACAGACATAAGGCATGGTGGGTACTTGATGGGGAAGCCAGGAATTGGGGTGGAGTTCACAGAGGCCTCCCTGAGGTGAGGGGGCCACACCTTTGGAAACAGACAGCACCTCAACATTTTCTAAACACCACACTCTCCTTAACCATGTTCCCATCAGAGAAGAAAATGAATTAAGACTCATTTTCCAACTCTGCAAGCATCTCATGATGGGAAAGAAGAGCTCAGGCACTCCACAGGGCACCGCTCGGCTGATGTGCCAGGAGAATGGGCAAGGGTACCTTCTTCGTCCACAGACACTGCACGGATGATGACCGGGCTGGAGTAGGTGGGCAGGAGTAGGGGCAGGTTGGAGGGGACAGCGTAGCCGCAGGGCACGGGCACCAAGTACCCGCTGGGCATGTGCAGGCCCACAGCCTCCTCTTCGGCACTGGGGGCTGGTGCCGGTGGCTGGTCTTCCTGGAATGGCGTGATGTCGATGATGGAATATGGATTGACTTTCATCGGGACCACAAGTTTGGTAGGTTCTACCTCTGCAGGGGTTTCTATTCTAGGTCCGTCGTCACTTCCTGAGGACGCAAAAAAGACTTGTCAGCAAACACACCATCAAGGACACATGGAGGTCCTCCCCTGGGGCACAGGCGAGGAGGAGGTGGTAAATCCCCCGCCCTCCATCCCATGCTAGGACTACGGGACATCCCCAGGTCATCGTGGATGGACATGGGACACCGTCCAAGGGGCGGGACTCAGAGGGAGTATGCTTGTACTATGGGGAAGTGGTGAGGTCAGTGCAACCTTTTGGCGCGGGTGAGACAAATACAGACTAGCCACTCCCAAGAGGCTCATCCAGTAGTGAGGGAAGTCAGCTAGAAACTGCCAGAAATGGAGGAAAAGGTGGGGGTTGCGGGGCTTCCCGTCTGGAGCTGGGCCTCCAGAGAGTCCATCTGGGCAGGAAGTAAAAGCACCATCCTACAATAAATCACAAAAACTAGCCGGCCGTGGTGGTGTGCGCCTGCAGTTCCAGCTACTTGGAAGGCTGTGGCAGAAGGATGAAATGCCTAAGCCCAGCATGTTGAGGCTGTGGTGGCCGTGACCATGCCACTGCACTTCAGCCAGGGCAACAAGAGTGAGTTGAAAACTCAAAAAAAAAAAAGGAGCACCCACCTCTGAACTGACAACACAGACCTTTACAGTTAGCACAACTCAAAAGTGTTTAATATTTAACACAGTGATATAATGATGAAGCAATGTTCAATACCTTTTCTCTGCTAACAGGCAGAGTGACAAGACTAGTGACAAAAATAGTAAAAATAGAGCAAAGAAAAGAAATGGCCAATTCACTCATTCATTCTCAAATTAAGTCATTTCAGGTTCATCATGAGAAATCATAATTCTGGCTCCTAGAAATCATAAATCTGGCTCCTTCCCCTGCAATTTTCTAACCAGGCAGTAAGAATGGGGAGGAAATTAGCCAGGCCCCAAAGGACAGCTGAGCATGGGCACTATGCTCAGCTGGGACCCACCTGCCAAGACCTGGGGATTTGCCCGCCACCATCTGGGACTCACCAGCAGGTGAGATGGCTTCCTCTGCTCCCACGCTCCCCGCCTCAGGGCCAGATGGCACTTGTCTGTCTGCTTCTGGGATTTCATCTCCACTGTCAAAATCAAATTGTTCTCCTTCCTCCTCTTCATTGTTATTGGTATCATATTTCACTTCATTTTCTAAAGTTTAAAGTAACAAATTACAGTGCCAACACTTATTACTAGCACAATGATGTGTACATTCCTATACAAAGACAAAAACAAAAAAAGGCTAAGCACACAACACACATACACAATAGCCAGGGACCACAACTAAGGTACTCTACAAGGTCAAGTACTTACAGGTGGCCTTCTTACTGGAAAAAATATCTGTCATTAGAATTCTTCTAAGTCAGGGCCATGCACGGTGTCTCACACCTATAATCCCGGCACTTTGGGAGGCTGAGGTGAGAGGTAAGCCTGAGCCCACGGGTTCGAGACCAGTCTGGGCAACTTGATGAGACCTCATCTCTACAATAAATCAAGAAAAATTAGCCAGGAGTGGTGGCACATGCCTCTAGTTCCTGCTACTTGGAAGGCTGAGGTGGAAGGAACTCCTGAGTCCAGTAGTTTGAGGCTGCCACAGAGTGAGACTCCGACTCAAAAAAAAAAAAAAAAGAACTCTGAGTCAGCGTTTTTTATTTCCTTTTAATAGGACCTACAATTCACAGCTGGAAAAGTAAGCAAAAGAGAGAAAGGAAGGAGAAAAAGGTTTTTTTTACATTTCCGGGCTGAAAGCTCCGTAGGGAATTCAGCATCACACACTTTTCTCCTTTTCCAAGAGAACCATGTGCTTGGATGATGCCCCCCCTCGCATGAGCCCTTTCAGGTCTTTCCATGGGCAAGGGGAGCTGGGCACGGTGGCTCACACCCCTAATCCCAGCACTTTGGGAGGTAGAGGTGAGAGGATTGTCTAAGTACAGGGGTTCGAGACTAGCCTGGGCAACTTGGCGAGACCTCGTCTCTACAATAAATCAAAAAATGAGCCGGCCGTTGTTTTTTAACAAAAAATAAAATCATTTTCCAGAATAGCTGCCAAACGCAACTGCTATCAACTCCTTAAAATTCATGTTTACAAAAAAAAAAAAAAATCATGTCTGTCAGATAAACATGATGAAGAAATAAGCAGTAAGTAGTCAGTGTATTGATACGAGTAGGTGAACACATTTTTGAGCAATACGTTTCTTTAACAAAAAAAAAAAAAAAATCATTTTCCAAAATATGTGCCAAACGCGATTTGTTATCAACTCCTTAAAATTCATGGTTAGAAAAAAAATCATGTTTGTCAGATAAACATGATGAAGAAATAATGCCAGTTAAATGCCCTGACCAACGTGATGGGTAAAAAATGTTTCTGTTCTGAGCTAGCGATATAAAAAGTCATGCCGGCACAAGATCAAGTTCATCAGAATAGAGACAGAATCATGTTAGACTTTTGTCACTCTCTTCTTTGAAAATTATACCGTTCTTTTGCAGAACTGTAACAATTAGATAAAATATACCTAGAAACAATTTTATAAAAATTGTCTTTTAAAAAAGCTTGACCATGTCTGGTATGAAATAGGCTCTTAGTTATCTGTGAAGGTATGAAACGTGAGCTCCCTCTGCACAGGAAGGCGGAATTCCCGCTAACATCCCCAGGAAGGGAAGCAGGGACAGAACCTTAATGTGCAGGAAACAGCCCGAGGGAAGCACTGCCCTTCCCGGTACGCAGTCTCCTGGACTGTGACTCGAGTGACTATGGCAACAACGCCAACCCTGCAGAGACAAGCGGGAAGTTTCCGAGATAGCATATGTTCCTGTGCGCCCAACACAACACTGAGAAGACCACAAGGAGCTCCTGCGTCCAGCACCAGGTCTGTTCCACACAAGCTGGTTCAGGAGGAAGCCCGGTACATGGTGACATGTAACACATGTGTCGTATGAGTGAATGAATGATGAGCAGATGGGGGTTTCAAACTCTTTTTTGCCAACCCTTTTTTTTCCCTGACAAAACTTTAAGTGGAATCCCAATAAACAGGGGGAAATAAAAGCAATCAAGACATTCCTCTGAAGCATAAATCTTCTTAGTTTAAGCTCCACGTGGCCTGGAGACTCGGAAGGGCTCAGGAAGGGCTCGGAAGGGCTGGGAACTCTGTAAGATCCTCGACTCTCACCAAGGTCTTGCAGGGCATTTGTGACAGAGCGACTTCCCTCTTCCTTCAGTCCCTGCATCACTAGAAGGGCCTACAGGGTGGTGTCCACCACAAACTCCTCCTAGAATCAGTTCCAGCAGACAGGCACTGCCTTCCAGAAGAACTCGACGAAGGAAATTGAGCTCCGTGGCACTCACAACACTGCATCTGAGACTGCTTGGGCACCCACGGCTGCACCCACATGCCCAGGACCAAGGGGTGATCTGATCAGAGTTGGGCTGCTGAGCTGCTCCTCCCAGACACGGGCCCTCCACTGGTGCCTTCATCAGACCATGAGGCTGCACACTGCCTTCTCAGGTCAGTTTTGGATGCCAGCCTCCATACAGCAAGTATTTGCTGAGCACGTTCTATCCCAGACACCACTCTGGGGCCTTAGGGCCTTGGGGAACCCAGACCCTGTGGAACCTACCCAAATTCTTTGTACAAGGGCCTTTGTGAAGAGCAATATAGCGTGCCTTTAAAAATCCTGATGCTCGGTGCCCTGAGCTTAGCTCTGACACCAGTACTTATGGGTTATACTGTGTCCCCCAAATTCCCATGTTGAATCCCAGTACCTCAGAAGGTGACCTTGTCTGAAAACAGGGTCAGCTGATATGAGCTTGTACTAGAACAGAATGGGCCCTCAACCAAGAAGAAAGGCGTCCTGCTAAGATGGGCAAAAGGCACAACAGGGAGGAGGCCCCAGACAACAGACCCAAGAACGCCAAGGACTAACCAGATGACACAGGCTCAGGAGCGCCAAAGACTGACCAGATCACACAGGCCCAGAAGAGTCAAGGGCTGATGCAGAGGACATAGGTCCAGGAGTGCCAAGGAGCAACCAGACAACATAAGCCCAGGAGCACCAAGGACTGACAACAAACAAGGAGGCTAGAAGAAGCAAGCAAGGAATCAATCACCTGTGCTCCCCAGCAGAGGCCCTGCCCACACCTTGCTGGGCCTTCCAGTCTCCAGAACTGAGAGCTAAGTGGCCCTGTGACGCTCTGTCATGTAGTCCCATGAGGCCCACTGCATGAGTTCAGCCAAGTCCTCTTCTGAAACAAAGGACCCTGCACCCTCCTCCAGGGTCTTTGCCAGTTGAGACCGTGTGAGAAACTCCCGTTCCTCTCATGTCTGGGGAAGTCACGCTGGAGCAAGATAACAGCAAGAAGAAACTGGAGCCTGAACACCTGAATAAGTGCCCAAGGGCTACTGAGCACTCCTTGCAGCAGCACACGTGCTGCAAGGTAGATGACATTCTCTAGAAAGCCTCTGGTAACCCCATGTCATGGCTGGCAGCTGAGCTGATGGCTTGGCAAGCGAGCTGTCTGCACACTGGCCACTTACAAATCCCCCATGTGAGATGCAGCAGTGGCAGGCACAGACACGGAGAAGGCCACGCCTGGGGAGCAGGGTCAGCAGCAGGTGGAAGCAGGGAAAGAGGGCTGCAGGGTCTGGGCCAGAGGTCCAGGGTGGTATTCCGTGCCCCTTCAAGGCCAACACAGGCAGCATGGCAGGTGCCAAGAGCTAAGAGTGAAAGGCACGACACCGAGGAATAGGGACAGCAGCATACTCATGCCCACCCGCCAGGCCCAGCCCAAATTGAACCCGGCATCTGGGTGTGGGCCACCCCCTCTACCCTCTCTATCCCTTTGGCCTGCCCATTACCAACTGTGCCTCTGGCCAAGGCCCACACTTTCCAGGAGAATGGCAGGCTCTCATGTGTTCAGGGGACAACCCTGTGGGTCACCAGCCCACTTTGACAGGATGCCTCCAACATGGTCCGACAGCAGGACTCAGGCCAAGCTTCCGTCAGGCAGGGCCACCTGGCCTGGCTTGGCAGAACTGACTGGATTTTTGTCATCTGACGGTCTACATTTGTCAGTAAGCAGTAACTGGCTCATCAACTTCTAAAACAAGTCATGAGACAAAATCTTAAGAAGTGGAGTATTTCTAGTTATAAAAATATAACCACGTCTGCTTTAGCTCATGCCCATATGCAAGAGGAAAGAGGAAACTACATGACAGTCCAATCTGTAAGATGCTGCTGTTAGACACGGGAATATCACAGAACTTTCCAGGCCGATGGAAAGGGTCTGTGTGGCTCACAAAACAGCTCGAGCCACAGCTGGCCACTGTACTCAGTCAGGGTGACCAGGTGATAAGGAACTGACTTGGTCCCGTCATTTAATTCTAATTAATTCTAATCTGCATAGACACTTGAGCCTAGTGGAAGATGCAGGCCTGAATCCTGGGCTATGAAGGCGGCAGACGGCTTATCTGAGCCCATGAACCGCCCCCACACTCCCTGGACTCTGTCTAGTCGTGTCTAATTCTGTATGGTCTGAAGCTGCAGCTCAGTTCAGTCTGGTTATTTTTGGTAGGTGTAACTATTTAGAACAGTTCTGAGTTTCCCAGAAGAATCGAGAGAGAAAGGTGTAGGGAGTTCCCATATGCTCTCAGCCCCCCACAGGCACTGCCTCCCCCAAAGTCAGCATTCCCCCCAGAGGGTGCATTTGTTACAATCAATGAACCTCCACTGACATGTCATCATCACCCAGAATCCACATGAGGCCAGCCTTCGTGTTGAACATTCTGTGGATTTGGACAAATGTATAATGACGTGTGTCCACCATTACAGTATCACACAGAGGAACTTCACAGCCCTAAACATCCTCTGTGCTCTCCCTGTTCTTCCCACCCTCCCTAATCCATGGAAATCACCAATATTTTTATTTTCTCCATAGTTCTGCCTTTTCCAGAATGTTATAGAGTTGGAATCGTACCGCGTGTAGCCTTTGCAGACTGGCTTCTTTCACTTAGGAATACACATTTAAGGTGCCCATGTCTTTTCATGGCTTGGCAGCTCGTTTCTTCTTAGTGCTAAATCATATTCCATTAATTGATGTACCACACAGTTTGTTTATCTACTCACCTACTGATGCACATCTTGGTTGCTCCCAAGTTTTGGCAATTATAAATAAAGCTGCCATAAACATTTGTGTGCAGGGTTCTCTGTGGATATAAGTTTTAAACTCACTTGAATAAATACCAAGATGCATGATTGCTGTACAATTAGGTAAGTTTAGTTTTATAAGGAACTGCAAAACAGTCCTCAAAAATGACTGGGCCATTTTGCATTCCCACAGCAATGAATGAGAGTTCCTGTTGCTCCCCATCTTCGCCTGCATTTGGTGATGTCAGTATTCTGGATTAGGGCCATATTAATTCAAATTTAGTTTTAACTAAAGTTTTCTTAAGGAGTAAAAGAATTACCACTAAAGTATCTAAGTTTAGTCACCTTCTGCAGGGGATGAGGAGTGACCTTTTGAGGTGATGAAAATATTCTAGCACCGACAGTGGTGATGGTGCCATATATTTGTGGATATACTAAAAGCCAGTAAATTATACAACTGAATGGTACATGAATTATATCTCAAGAAAACTGTTAACCAGAAATCATAATCTCTCATTACGAATAGCCTATACATATCAAAACAACAACTTCTACCTAGGTTTATTAGGCAAAAAAAAAAAACACTGCCGATGTTGGAACTCTAGTAATACAAATAGCATCATTTAAGTTAATGGCATGGTGAAGTTTGATTTCAGTGAAAAAAAAAGTCTTACTTTTAAAACACTGGAAGAATATTCACCGAAAATTTAATAGCACTATTATCTTTTAGTGGGTGAAGGTTAAGTGTATTTTTTTCCTCTGTCTATATTTTAGTTTTGTCTACAATGAACATGCATTACAATTTTGAATTCTACAATTCAGATGATAAATTATTATTGTTTTTTAGTTGGAGTCTCACTCTGTCACCCAGGTTGGAGGGTAGTGGCATGGGCACAGCCACCACAGCCTCCACGTGCTAGTCTCAAGCAAGCCTTCTGCCTCAGCCTTCCAAGTAGCTGGAACTATAGGCACATGCCACCACTCCTGGCTCATTTTTCTTGATTTATTGTAGGGATGAGGTCTCACCAAGTTGCCCAGGCTGGTCTCGAACCACGGGCTCAGGCAATCCTCTCACTCCGGCCTCCCAAAGTGCCAGGATTATAGGCGTGAGCCACCGCGCCCATCCTAGATTATAAATTATAAAGTCATTTATATCTAGTTTAAGTTAGTTGTATACAATATTCACTGAATAAAAACAAAAGAGAAATAAGTATATATCCATCTCCTACCTTGTCGTGTTATTTTGAACTCCCCTAGACAAACCTACATGAGCCACTCAGAAATGTCAGGTAGAGCCATGGATAAGAGCATGGCTTCTGGGGTCAAACCTTCACCACTTACTGGCCGTGACAACCTGCCTCCATTTGTGAAGTGCAGTCATAAAGCAGAAAGCATCTCTCTCCCACGGCGTCATGGCAAGGGTTAAGAAAGGCTATGTGATATGTCTAAAGCTGCTTAGTTTGAGGCTTATGGCCCAGCAGGACCAGCGGGACTTCCTTGCGAAGACAATGCAGAGGACATAGATGTAATACGTGGTCTCCGGAAAAACACACAACACTTAGAAACTTTTCTTAGCTCCCAAGACCTGCTGGTTCTGGCAAAACACCCAAGTGGACTCTGGAGAGGTGGGCCGCCCACTCCTGGCCACCCTCCCTCATGAGCAGACAGCCCTCTCTGCTCCAGACCTGTGAGCAGCTTTTAAAGACATGGGACAGATTTACACACTAAGGAAAAAAGGAATATTCATTTTTAATTCAGAGATAAAAGCTAACCATGTTTTTCCTGGGCCTTTTAGGGCCATATTAGGTTATAATATGAAGGCTTGATTCAAGACATGGTTTTCTCTTATTTCAAATGAAGGCTGTTTTCAAATTCTTTTGATTATTTTAGAAATAAAAAAGTCCTTTAAAAAGCACCAGGCTGCATACAGCTTCCCCAACAAGAGGCTATTCATAACCACCTCTTGGCTCTGGATGTCACTGTGGTTTGCAGCTGCTTGTGCTGAAGGAGGTGTCCCCAGAACAACGCTGTCCCCCAGAAAAAATGTGTCCCCCTCCAGGGCTGCCCACTGCAAGGAGGGTGTGGGCGTTGCCTTTTGTCTGAGCTCACTGTGGAAGTTACCAGGTCTCTGGCAATTGATTTCTTGTGAATCAACATTAATACGGCAATAGTAGCGATTTCCTCTTCCCAAACATAATCTGCATTGGAATTTTGCTATTAATCAGAGAATTGCTTTAGCTGGTGGTGTGACTTTATACCATAAAACTGTCAAGTTTTGCATTCTGAAATATCCCAGAGCATCTTCTAATATGATTGGAAAAAATTCCCAGATTATCTTCTAAATTGATTTGCTAAGTCTTCCAGGCTGGCCTCGATTCTTGGTAATATATAGGTGTTAACTCGTTAAGTCCTCACAGAAGCTTATGAGGGAGGTATTGCTCTGGCTCCATTTTCTCTAGAAACAATGGAAACTGAAGCCTGCCCATAGTCATCAGCTCACCGACTATGGAGTCAACATTCCAGCCCAGCAGCCATGTCTCAAACCTGAAATCTTTCCTGGTGCACAACTCTGCCTGGATGGTTTGTCATGTTGCCAAGGTAATGAATGGGCATGGAATGGAGTCACTCCACCGGAACATACAATAACACAGGCGGTAGGATGTGCTATAGTCACCGCAATGGACAGTTAGGAAAACCATGCAGTACATGGAAAATGCTTATGAAATAAAAATGTTGACTGGGCTCTGTGGCTCAGCCTGTAATTCCAGCACTTTGGGAGGCCGAGGTGAGTGGACTGCCTGAGCCCAGGGGTTCAACACGAGCCCATGGATTCGAGACCAGCCCATGGATTCGAGATCAGCCCGGGCAACTTGGCAAGACCTTGTCTCTATAATAAATCACAAAACAAATTAGCCGGGTGTGGTAGCACGTGCCTGTAGTTCCGGCTACTTGGAAGGCCAAGGAGGAAGGATAGCCAGAGTCCAGCAGGTTGACGCTGGGGTGACCGTGAATGTATCACTGCACTCCAGCCTGAGCGACAGAATGAGACTCCAACTCAAAATAAATAAATAGATAGATAGATAGATAGATAGATAGATAGATAGATAAACATGTTAAAGCAAGACATAGAAATGCACATTAAACAATTTTAAAAAGTACAATCAATGACTATACTTATGTAGAAAAGAAATATGAGGTCTGTCCAGGTACTGTGACTCACGGCTATAATCCCAGCACTGGTAGGGTGAGGCAAAAGGAGCCCAGGAGTTTGAGACCAGCCTAGGCAACATAGTGAGACCTAGTCTCTATAAAAAAAATTAGCTGGACGTGGTGGCACAAACCTGTGGTCCCAGCTACTTGGGAGGCTGGGATAGGAAGATCACTTGTACCCAGGAGTTGGAGGTTGCAGTGAGCTGTGACTGCACCACTGTACTCCAACCTGAGCAACAAAGTGAGACCCCCAACTCAAAAAAAAAGAAGAAAAGAAAGAAATATAAAGAAAAAAGCAGGAAGTGATGATCGGAAACACCAACACCAAGTGTGACCCAGTATCATCTTCAAGGGCGTTCTTAGTGGGCTGTTTTACTTTTAATGGGGGAAATTATAACCAAAGTATCACTGAATCATGAAAACCGACACCAGCCATTATTCCCTTTTCTACTTGTCACAAACGTCAACTTGCCAGAAAATCACGTATGTTGTTACAACTTCTGAGCCGGAGCAGTATCACTTACATCGAGGCCTTCCACACTGACCGACCTCCATGGACTGGGCTTTTGCCACAGAGCCCAGGGGAAGCTTCTGGGAGAAATGTCAGTAGTGGTAAATTGTGGGGATTTCCACATTCCTGCAGCCCAAGAGTGGATGGGGGGGCAGCTGCACCCAGAGGGTGCCTCAGGCCAGGCAAAGCGGCCAAAGGACGCATGGTGGTGGGGAGAAGACAGCCCGGCTGGGGGGAGGAGCGCTCCAGGTGTACAATGAATAGAGATGAGGTGACAATAAAGAGAGACCTTTGACAGCCCCCGCCCCCTTCACAGACTGTTCATTGAGCAGATGGATAAGAAAGACGGCTTGTCCCTGAACTGCCCCTGAGGAAGGAAGTAGGAGAGGAAACAGCCAGAGCTCCACCCCCAGGTGTCACGAGGCCGGTGCTTCTGTGCTTCGGTGTACACCAGGAGCCTCAAGGCAGGAAGTCCTCTGTTCTTCACCCCCGCCCTTTGACTTCTGACTGCATCTGGCTTATGCAAACCTTTAGGGAATTCTAGATGCTGACAACCTGCATGTAATGCAAGAGACTCGCCCAGGACGCCCCAAGGAGAGGCGAGAGGGGAGGCGGGTGAGGACACGTGGGACACACAAGGCTCTCACCCCAACCCACACACCAGCAATTCCAAAAAGTACCAAGTCCTTATAAGGGTGGCTATGCACCGCAACCCACAAGGGACATCTGATGGGGGTAAAATCTGTTACCTTCTGGGGCAGGAGGGGGCAGCTCCTGTGGATCCATGCTGCAGCCCAAGCCTCTTTCCTGGGCTCTGATGAGGGGTTGGGGTCCCTTGCAAGGAGGGAGGTTGCCTGTCACCTTTCAAGCAGATGAAGACTTGCTCAGCATGTGCAGGGCCTTCTAGAGATAACCCTGCAAAAACGAAAAAGTTAGTTGACATTATTAGCTGCAATTAGAGAACTTGCCACCTATTAGTTGCAAATACGTGTAAATCTCCTTTGACATAATATCCAAGAGCAAAACAAAACAAAGCGTTCTTGGTGTTGGCTGACTTCACCTTGAAACGTTGCCAGGAGTTTATTTTGCAACTTGGATTCCTGGTCAGACCCTCCCAACCCAGTGCGGCTTCAATTCCTTGCTTAATTTCTTGCCGCATGCTAGGGGGAGAAAACAGCACATCAACCATGTTTCTTCCTCTTCCTTGCACTGAAACCTTAACAGTTTTGACTAGACATGCTTGGGATCAAGCAAGTGTTGGCCATGCTCTTCACTCCCTCTGAGTGACATGGACCTAAGTCCTCGGTCTGGGTCAACCTCCACCCACCTGGTTTCTTCCGTCCCTTCTCTACACTTTGCATGTCCCTCCACATATCAGAGAACAGAGTTTGGGAGTGAGTGATGGCAGCCAAGTCCTTCGAAGGCTGGGTCCCACTCACCACTGCCATCTGCCCTGTGCTGACAGCGCTGGATGACTGCCCCAGCCTTCAGGGGACGATGGGATGGAAAGCAAGTTTTGTGTGGGGAACCTTCCAGCTGCCTGGGCTCCAGCATCAGGGGCCAGGCCCTCACCACCCTGAGGAAACGCACACAGGGTCATATGGGCCAGGGTCGGGCATCTCCTGCAGGTCAGCTCCTCCAGGTCAGGCCAGCCACATCCAGGCAGTCACCGGCCTCATGTGTTCCTTACAAGGTGACCGCAAAGGAAACCCCAGGGCACCAGCGTGCCAGGGCTCTGGGCTCTGCCCACAACATGCCCAATGCCACCAGTCCAGGGCATTCTTTTAACCTAATTCACAGAACCGACTGCCTGTTCCGGCACTTTCAGGAGAAAACAGACAAGCACTGCCCACAGACTAAGCTGAGCTGGGGATACCCTCGGAGTCTTGGCAGACACAACGGCATCCTGTGAACCCACCTCAGGTATGCCTGGCAGACATGACCACTGCCCACACTGTCTCCCTCCCACCCTCAGGACCCCACCCACACACAGCCTCCCTCGCTGCTCAGCCTCTTGCAGCCTCAGTTCCTTAGTTTTGTATCATCTCGTCAACACGCTCACAAGTCCTCATCATGTGTGGGTGTTCCCTACAAGCAACAGCTGCAACTGCCACATTGGTTAGTGACACGATCGCTGAGAAAAGAACAGGATTCTTATCTGGGGGAACATGAGCCAAATAACCAGGCCCAAGAGATGTCAGAGTAAGAGACAATCACGCCTCTCCACCAGCGCTGTGTTCACCTCCCGAAACCACTTGCTGTGGCCACACGTGGCTACGAATTAACCTCATGACAATGCATCAGACACTGCAACCCACACCCCACAGCTTAAAGTGCAGCCAGTCACGATCAATATTACTTCTGTAAACTCAAGAGAATTCCTGACAGCGGTGCGTCCGCCTGCTCCCTGTCCCCTTATGTTGCCTTTAAAATCCACTTGTGACGACCGCTCATTGGAGCACACTGGGGGCACCTTGAGTCTGCACCTCCAGGCTGCGGTCCTCAAGCCTGGTCCAAGCCAGCTCTCCACTGGTTCACTTTGCCTCACGACCTCCTTTCCAGCAGACATCGCCATCACAGCTCCAAGAAGGGGACCTGTCAGTATTTCCAAATGAGAAAGCTACAGCCCGGAAGACCCGGTGACCTGGCCAAGATGGGGTCGGGACCTCTGGGCAAGTGGGGCCAACAATGGTGGGAAGGATTGTCCTGCCGCCCTGGGACATTAAGCATGTCTACTCACCATGCGGGACATTCTTTCCCACTCCCTCAACTGCTCAAGAAACTCAGTTGAAGGGCATCAATCACCTGCCCAGCATCAGTGAGTAACAACCCACGGTGGCTGGGCACCCTTGGGTCTTAGAGAACAGCAAGCCCTTCCTCTGGCACTCAGACTGCCATCCTGACTGCACTCTGCTGTCTGTGACACAGCAAGCAGCAAGGGCCCCAGCACCTCTCCCATCAGCACACAGAGAATAAACTCAGACACACTAGCACACAGCACCTCACAGTTCTGTGGTTCTGTGTCTTAAGAGAGTTTTGTTTCCAGTCAGGCAGGGTGGCTCACACCTGTAATCCCAGCACTTTGGGAGGAGGAGGCGAGAAGACTGCCTGAACTCAGGGGTTCGAGACCAGCCTGAACAATAATGAGAGATCTTATCTCTACAATAAATCAAAAAATTAACCAGGTGTGGTGGGATGTGCCTATAGTTCCAGCTACTTGGAAGAATGAGGCATAAGAATCACCTGAGTCCAACAGATTAAGGCTGCGGTGGCCTCGAGCGTGCCACTCCACTCCAGCCTAGATGACAGAGTGAGACCCCAACTCAAAAAAAAAAAAAAAAAAGAGTTCCATTTCCTTCACGGGCTAGTGTTTACTCTCGATGTTTTTATACACATTGTACAAATCTCATTACTGCTATTTGTTTCTCTTTTTAAAATGCATAAAAATACAGTCAAATTGACTTCTCACATTCCTGCTCATAATTCTAGGACAAAATAAAAGATGGGGCTGAGTGCAATGTCTCACACCTATAGTCCCAGCTACTTGGGAGGCTGAGGATGGAGGATGGCCTGAGCCCAAGAGGCCGAGGCTGTCCTGAGCCGTAATCATACCACTGCACTCCAGCCTGGACAACAGAATGTGACCTCGACTGAAACACACACACACACACACATACACACAGAGATAAGCAGATTCTAGACACTCTGGAACTTTTTCCTTTCAAAATGAGTTTCCCTGGAAAATTGCATTCCTGAAAAGGAAACTCTCTAGAAGGCTGACACAGAAACTGTGACTTTGTTTCTGTACTTCACAAATGCCCACACAGTTTACAGGCAGTTGTGTACCCCTCCCCTGCAAACAGCTACCCCACACAGACAGGCTGGGGGCACGAAGCTCAGAGGTTGGGAAGGTTTTGCACCAGTATACCCCTTACCTAGAAGCCAGGGGGTCCAGAGCCTGTCTTTCTTGTGCTGCCTTCCAGGGAATGTCAGCCTGAATCCAGGGGAGCTAGAACCACCTCCTTTCTATGCAAACTTCTGGGGTGTCAGCCTGAATCAAGGAGGTCTAAAACCCATCTTTCCCATGAAACCTTCAGGGGTGTCAGCCCAGAATCCAAGGGGTCTAGAACCCCCTTTTTTCTGTGCAAACTTCCAGGAGTGGCAGCTGAATCCAGGGGGTCTAGAGCCCGTGTGTCCTGTGCAACCTTTCAGAAGTATCAGCCCAGGATCCAGAGTACCTAGAAGCCCCTTTCCTGTGCAACCTTCCAGGTGTGTCAGCCTGAATTTAGAGGTCTAGAGCCTGTCTTTCCTGTGCAACCTTCCAAGGGTATCAGCCTGAATTCAGAGGATCTCAAACCCCCTCTTCCCTCCAGGGGTGTCAGCCCAGAATCTAAGGGGTCTAGAACCCTCTCTTTCCTATACAACCTCCAGGGGTGTCAGCCTGGGAACCAGTGGTCTAGAGTCCTTCTTTTCTGTGCAGCCTTCCAGGGGTTTCAGTCCAAATCCAGGGGGTCTTTCTGTGCAATCTCCCTGGGGTGTTCACTGCTTGCCCGGCACCTCCCTATGACTCACCCGGATTCTGCAGGCAGCTCTCGTGCAGCGAGACTGACCCTGGGGCAGAGCCCAGGACTCCACTGTCCGAACACTCTCTTCCCACCACACACAACATGAGATAATACCTGCCTGGTCTCTGGGCTTTGTTTGTATTGCTGCTGTCGTTTTCCAATTTAAGCATCTTAATGAAAGACTTCATTGTGCGTTTGGATTGTGGTTTTAAACAAAGGGATGACACATGCAGTCAGGGAAGAGTCCAGAGACTCTAGTCCGAGGACGGCATCAGGGTGTATATGTTGGCCTCTACCACTCCACTCCGCACAACTCTCATGAACACAGTGGCCACTGAGCCCGTCACCCTGTGTAACACCACCCTGGGACTACCTGATCTGTGCTGCAATGGTGAGGCTCAGCCCTCTCACCAAATTCCTGGGTTTGCAAGGGGAAGGAAGGTGAACATTAGGAACACAGAGGGCAGGAGGGTCTGGCCAGAGAGACCCAAGGACGTGCTCCAGCGCCTCCATAACCAGCACTGCACAAGGCATGCACACACTGATTTCCCATGGAGGACACAGAACCTGAAAAGCGTGGAGGAGAGCAGCTGGGAGCATGATACACAGCCTGAGTCTAGACCTACCCTGGCCCACCACTCAGCTAGGCAGGCTCCCACCCGCCTGGGCCTCCATGCCCTCAGCTGTGACACTGAGGTAAGGACAGTCCCTCCCCTGTGGGCTACTGTGCGGTGGGCAGGAGTGGTGCTCCATTGCGGGCATCTGGCTCCTCACCTGCTGCTCAGCCTGGGTCAGTACTTGGGGCCTCGTGCATCCTGGTCCCATGGCTGGTCTCCCAACACTTACCCCTCCAGCCTCCATGGTTCTGCAAAGGGGGGTGGTGGCAGGTTGGGCACCCCACATGGACCACAGACTGAATGGGAGAGGAAGTCACAGCCTTGCCCAATGCAGAGCTGAGACTGCCAGTGCCCAGCGTTCCCCTGGCTGGCCACAGAGCCCAGAAGGACCCCTTGGCCAGTAAGACTCAGCGCCATCTCCCTGCATTCTCCCGCCTAGGACATGGATGTGGTGGCTAAAAGGACAGCATATGGGGAACTTGGAACAGGGCTGGGTGCTGAGCAGTAAGCATCTGAGGTTGCACAGCCTCTGGACCTCGAGCATGAGAGCCAGGAAACCATCCCCACGACTCCAGCAAGACAAATCCCAGACATCATCCCAACAAGGCAGAGGCTGCAGAAGCCAAGGACAGGGA